CTTCCTCAACTCATAGTTCACCAAAGCTGAGGTCACCTCCTTGTAGCTAACTGTAGTTCTTCCATTGATCATAGTGAGAACGAACGTACCATAATCATCTTCGGGCAACGAACACAGAAGTAGCATCGCCTTGTCTTCATCCTCTACTATAATATCCACATTGGCCATATCTGAAAGTAGCTTAGTGAAGTTGTTAACATGCTCCCTGATGGAAACCCCTCTCTTCATCTTGAACTGGTAAAATCTCTTCTTCAAGTGAAGCTGATTCTCAATGCTCTTCGTAAGATATTTCTCATTGAGTGTTTCCCACATCTTCTTCGCCGACGTCTCGTTCATGACATCATAAATAAGATCCGGCGTTAAGCATGACCTAATAACACCACAAGCTCTTCTGTTCATCTTTCTCCAAACCTTATCCTCTAACTCAGCGGGTTTCTCTTTTAACTCAAGAGTCTCCTCCAAATTCTGTGCATCCAAAGCATCCATCACCTGACACCTCCACAATCCAAAATTGATCTTGCCATCGAACTTCGGAACATCAATCTTCGTGTTATTGATGCTCAGACTCTGTATCGCCTTAGTTAGAGACGAACCTGACGTGCTTGCATCTCCCATGTTGTCGATCTAGCTCTGATACCAATTGTTGTGCACGGCGGAAGCTTTCTCGGGCAACACAAACAATAACTCGAACTAAACCACAAACAATATGCAAACCACAACCACAGAAAGAACACACAATTTACGTGGTTCGGCAATTTGCCTACGTTCACGGGGCAAGGAGGGGGGAGATTTTACTACTAGAAATTAAGGGAATACAAATAGGGTTACAAATCTCTCAGACCAAACCCTAAAACAAAGCACTTGATCTCTCAAAGCTCTCCCACAATTGGATGCAACAAATCTCTCTTAGAGGCTGCGCGGCGGAAGCTTTCTAGGGCAACACGAACAATAACTTGAACTAAACCACAAACAATATGCAAACCACAACCACAGCAAGAACACACAATTTACGTGGTTCGGCAATTTGCCTACGTTCACGGGGCAAGGAGGGGGGAGATTTTACTACTAGAAATTAAGGGAATACAAATAGGGTTACAAAGCTCTCAGACCAAACCCTAAAACAAAGCACTTGATCTCTCAAAGCTCTCCCACAATTGGATGCAACAAGGATCAATAAATGAGGAGAATCTATTCTATGACATGACAGGGATCAATAAATGAGGAGTCTCTGTTCCATTAAGTACTTACCTCTCCCTTTGCAATCTCCCCTTCTTAGTTAGAGAATCCAAAGAGTTGTTTATACTGTAGTGAATACTATTGAATAATATTGAATAAACAGTAAAGCAACTCTGGTCCTCCACACTCGAAGATACTGTTTACAACAGTGATTTACTGTAGGATAATCAGTAAATCAAATCTGCTCTTCCATTTTTGATATTACTATTCATACTACAATATTTTACTGTATCATAAACAATAAAATAAATCAAATGTATTAAAACTTAAATCTTTTTTTAAGTATAGAGGAATAGATATGATTTCTAAATCAAATGTATTAAAATTTAAATATTTTTTTAAGTATAGAGAAGTAGATATGATTTCTAATTTTAAACATACAATAATATTTTAAAGGGAAAAATGCTTCCAGCCCCCAAAAGCCAAGTGAACATGCTTCCCACCCCCAGGACTTGGTCAATGGGTGTTTTACCCCTAAAAATAAAGATTGTGTTCTCTGAGCCCCAAAACACAAAACCCAAGACATTAAAACATGTGAAGACCATAATACCCTTCTCTCTCTCTTTCTTTTTTTATTAAAATATGATGGGGATTATTTTATTATTTTTGTTTTCTCTCTCTCTTTATCATGATGTACCAAGAGGATAGTTGAAATGATTGATGAGGATTATTTTATTATTTTTGTTTTTTATTATTTTGGTTGTTTGTATTGGGAGGTTGTTAAAGTTACGGGTTGATTGTTAAGGTTACGGGTTGGTTGTTAAGGTTAATGGTTTGTTGTTAAGGTTGTGAATCCTCTCTTTCTCTTTCTTTTTTTTATTAAAATATGATGGGGATTATTTTATTATTTTTGTTTTCTCTCTCTCTTTATCATGATGTACCAAGAGGATCTTTAGATAGGTAACCCTAACAATTAAACCCGTAACCTTAACAATTAAACCCGTAACCTTAACAATAAATCCGTAACCTACACAACAAATCCACAACCTTAACAACAAACCCTTAACCTTAACAACCAACCCGTAACCTTAACAATCAACCCGTAACTTTAACAACCTCCCAATACAAACAACCAAAATAATAAAAAACGAAAATAATAAAATAATCATCATCAATCATTTCAACTATCCTCTTGGTACATCATGATAAAGAGAGAGAGAAAACAAAAATAATAAAATAATCCCCATCATATTTTAATAAAAAAAGAAAGAGAGAGAGAGAGGATTCATAACCTTAACAACAAACCCTTAACCTTAACAACCAACCCGTAACCTTAACAATCAACCCGTAACTTTAACAACCTCCCAATACAAACAACCAAAATAATAAAAAACAAAAATAATAAAATAATCCTCATCAATCATTTCAACTATCCTCTTGGTACATCATGATAAAGAGAGAGAGAAAACAAAAATAATAAAATAATCCCCATCATATTTTAATAAAAAAAGAAAGAGAGAGAGAGAGGATTCATAACCTTAACAACAAACCCTTAACCTTAACAACCAACCCGTAACCTTAACAATCAAATCCACAACCTTAACAACAAATCCACAACCTTAACAACAAACCCTTAACCTTAACAACCAACCCGTAACCTTAACAATCAACCCGTAACTTTAACAACCTCCCAATACAAACAACCAAAATAATAAAAAACGAAAATAATAAAATAATCCTCATCAATCATTTCAACTATCCTCTTGGTACATCATGATAAAGAGAGAGAGAAAACAAAAATAATAAAATAATCCCCATCATATTTTAATAAAAAAAGAAAGAGAGAGAGAGGATTCACAACCTTAACAACAAACCCTTAACCTTAACAACCAACCCGTAACCTTAACAATCAACCCGTAACTTTAACAACCTCCCAATACAAACAACCAAAATAATAAAAAAATAAAAATAAAAAAATAATCCTCATCAATCATTTCAACTATCCTCTTGGTACATCATGATAAAAAGAGAGAGAAAACAAAAATAATAAAATAATCCCCATCATACTTTAATAAAAAAAGAAAGAGAGAGATAGAGGATTCATAACCTTAACAACAAACCCTTAACCTTAACAACCAACCCGTAACCTTAACAATCAACCCGTAACTTTAACAACCTCCCAATACAAACAACCAAAATAATAAAAAATAAAAATAATAAAATAATCCTCATCAATCATTTCAACTATCCTCTTGGTACATCATGATAAAGAGAGAGAGAAAATAAAAATAATAAAATAATCCCCCATCATATTTTAATAAAAAAAGAAAGAGAGAGAGAGAAGGGTATTATGGTCTTCACATGTTTTAATGTCTTGGGTTTTGTGTTTTGGGGGCTCAGAGAACAGATTCTTTATTTTTAGGGGTAAAACACCCATTGACCAAGTCCTGGGGGTGGGAAGCATGTTCACTTGGCTTTTGGGGGTTGGAAGCATTTTTCCCAAAAGTAAAAGAACATGAGATGGTATTAATTGTTTGACAGAAGAAGTATGAAATTTTCCAACCATGTTAACAGAAACATTCACCTTAAACGCATCAATGAAATTGAAGAGAGGAAGATGGCCGTCATTCCGCGCAAGCATTGATACGCCTATAGGCTAAAGCCAGCCTCAAGTTGTAAAATTTTAGTTTTCTAGAGCCAAATAGTACAAAAATGAATGCAATTTGGGGGATATAGCTTGTGAGTGCTATGTTTAAAATAAATCACAATCACCATGCAAACTAAAGATTATAAGAAAAGGTAGTGCCTAAAAATTTCTCCTTTTATCTAACCGATCATAAATTTTTCTTAAGTTACAACCATGACATAATCGTTAATTTTTTTTAAATTATAGATTTTTTTCCAACTACTACCAGTGTACAAGTCATGTAATGTTCATTACAACAAAAGTTATAAATTATGATACTTTTTTGTATCTAAGTGACATATTTTTGTGTTACAAAAATGGAGTGTGACACATACTAAAAGTATGATTCTAATATGTGTGGAGAGCGTCTTTCTACACAGGTGAAATGTATCACAAAAGTCTATGTCGAGAGTGGTGACACATACATGTGTCACAAAACTCGTGACCCATATATGTATCAAGAATGGTGACTCATCGTTATGTCTAGACCATAATAATATAAAGAATATTATCATTCATCAATATAACTTCTCAGAAGGTTGCCCATCCTAGGATTACTCTCACCAAAGCACACTTAACTATGGAGTGTTTTAGCTTATCCACTATCATAAATGTTTAATCATCATCATAATTAAAATGTAAGATTTATTATTTAAACTCATTAATAGGTTCTCTCACTATCCATATTGGACTATTAGCCTTTTTTTCAAGTATATTTAATTATATATCTAATGACATAAATATGTGTCATGATTTGCTACACTTTTTATTTGTGTCGTTATTGCTTAATCCTTTGCAAATAAAATGATAATTTTATACGTGTCATTAAATATATGGACACATACAACTTTTGTTGTAGTGGTTATTTATATTTATGGTGGAAATACGTTTTTAATTTACGAATTAAATTTCTCGAGAAAATATGAGTTGAATCAAACTCTCCGGCTTCTCTTTCATACGCACAATCAATATTGAGTGAGATCAGCTTTTTTATTATTATTATGAATATTGTCAAAAGAAGCTGCAAGCTAGGCGAGCCAAGGTTTTGGCAACTGAGCAGGTTGTGATCTTGATAACTATAAATACATCCCCTAAGAACTTGTATATACTATACTATCCTCTAATCTAAAAAAAGAAACTTTGTTAAGAAACTCTTTATAAAAAACATCCGGAGAACAGAGGAGATGGCTACGGGTGCCAAAGAGCTTCCAAAGGTGTACACAGAGGCAAGTATAAAATTGTAGCTACATATGTACATAAAAGATATATGTATCCTTCATTAGTTAAATTAAACCCTGTTATGGTCTGTCTCAAATAATTAACCATGCAGAACACATGGACGGAGGAGAGGAATGGCGATAGAGGCATCGTCAAGTATCCAAGAGAGATGAACATTACTAATGTTGATAACGGCAAGTCCTGGATCTGGCACTCCCTAGTCTTCGGAAGGCACGTAAAATTTTTTTAAACAAACACATACATATATATACATATATTACTCATAACTAATATGAGTATAACAGAATAAATTCTACCATGCAGCATTGGTAGATTAGGGATGGAAGCGCCGAAACTGATGGGGGCGACGCATGTGGAGATCCGTGGGAAATATGACATGTCTAGACTCACACCGGGTCTGAAATATCAGGCGGTGTTACTATGCATGTTGACAGATCCTAGTGAGGGATGGGATTCCTGTCTTTTGAAACTAGAGCTTAACCTACCTGATGGAACTAGCCAAAAGCGCAAAGTAGACCTAACAAAATTCCCAAAGGATGAGCTCGTGATGATGGTGCTCGGTTACTTTGAGGCTGTTGAGAGTGGTGACATCACTTTCTCTGCTGTTGAAACTTCAAACTGCGTGAAGAAGGGACTCGTCATCAAGGATTCCGCCCTCCGTCCGCTCCCTCGTTAGTTGCTAGTGTATAGTTCACTTTAGCACTGCATGAAGAAGAATTAATAACGAAGGATGAGCAACTGGTGACGATCGATGAAGTTCATGGATGTGTGCATGATAGCCCTGTATTGGCCTCATGCATTAGTTATTAATTATAACCCAATAAGAAGGAGTTTCTTTTATTATTTAAAGCCTTTTGCTAATTTATTTTCTAAATTTTTCTTGTTGTTTCAGTTTCTGGAGTCTAGTCCCAGTTTGCTTGGCGTGTTGAGTTTGTTCATGGATAACTGGAAAGGATATAAATAGTAATGGCCTTATATGCCCAATAGTCATCGAACAATTGGGCGGTTAAACGAAGATATATACTCAGTTGAATCTGCCCGTAATTAGCCTAGCTAGCTAACAGTCGATGGTTGCCTGGCCGTGGACTGTCCAAGTGGTCTAGGAGAAAGTTCAGGGGAACTATTTAGCATCGGACTGTCAATGATGTTTGATGCCTGTCAATTATATCATACCATCCGATAACTGTCAGATTCTATATCCATTAGGGATTCCTATCTGTATTGAGGGTATTTTTGGGGATATCAATACAAATAACTCTGCTAAATAGTTTCTCATGTCTGTTTGGGGCATCTAAATAGATCTTAGAGATAGATAGATTCTTCTAATCTGAGAGAATATTTTGAGATATGAGATCTCTTGTCCACAACTTTTCTTATCTGATTAGTGACACAATTATCTATTTCTACTCATGGAAGTAGAATTTCCTTCCAATCACGTTAATTATGTGTGTTTGTACTTGCTCTATTTTGGCGTGAATTGCTTGATTTCGATCGTTTGTTGGCACGCGCCTCTGGCGCATATAAACCACAAGAGACTGGTATGAGAGCTGAAGGCTGTTCTTGTTGACCAAGAACAAGGTGGCGTTGAACAATATATATAAATATCGACAAATTCGTAGGTGAGATACATTTGTCTCTGGCGCTTGATGAAACGAGCCTTGTTAAAACAATAGGGAATATGAGACTATTGTCTAGAAAATGATCGGAGTAATTGTTAGATAAAAAAAACTTTAATTACTTTAAAAGATTTAAAAGATGAAACCCTAATCAATCCCAATATTGTCCATGTCATACTATTAAGATAATTAAGAAGATATGGAACCGTACCTAAATCCATAGAGTAGGACATAGTTCTTATCATTTGAGATGTTGATCTTCCAAATCATGTAATTATATCATCCTTAGAGAAACTCTAATCTTTCTAAAGATGAGAAATCAGAAAGAGATTGTACATAAAGATTTGGGAAGCCACAATCATATTATAACTGAATCCAGTTATTCATTATTATCAATTCAGCCCATTATAGAATTAACAATTATACATTGGTCTCTTCATATAGGAGGCCTGTACTTTAATTATGCATTAAAAGCCTAAACCCTAAATTAGATCATTTTAATAGACTAACTTCAATTGATAGCACACAATACACATTTATTTAATATATTGGCTCATCATTGAATATAAATCCAACAATCTCTCACTTGGGCCATATATGTTACTATATAAATGTGATTTATGATATAACCATATAAGCTCATGAATTTTGCTATCAAACAATATGCATCCTTAACAATCTCATCCATCAGTTATATCAACATAGGATCAAAGCAATCTTACTTGTATTTATCGCAACTAGACCTATCAATGATCACGTATATCAATACAGTTAATGACGCAGTTCAAGTACGGATTTGTAGCATATAATTTTCAAGCAATGGGATCTTAACATACCTATTTCCAACTGGTCCACCTTAAAGCCTTAGTGAGATCAAACTATACAAAAATCAGAGTGAATATGAACTGAATATTTTATATTACAGTATATAATAATACGATATTTGTAAAATCATAGCCAATGTGTCTACGAACAAAAGCATCTAAAATACAAACTCTCACTAAAATGACATATCCTGAAAATATAAAATACTCATATGAGCAGTGTGCTCATGAAAGACCTTAGGTGGTAATCCCCTAGTCAACGAATCCGCAATCATGAAGTTTGTTCCAATATGCTCTATAGACACAAGTGTACTCTAAACTCTTTCTTTAACAACATGAAACTTGATGTTTATATATTTCAACTTCATTGAGCTCCTATTATTGTTGGAATACAACACTGTTGACTTATTATTACAAAATAACTTAAGTGGCCTTTCAATGTTATCTACAATTTGCAGCCCAGTGAATATTTCGCAGCCATATTCATGATTATATGCCTCATAGCACACTACAAACTCAGCTGCCATGATGGATGAAGCTATGACTGTCTACTTAGAACTCTTTCAAGAAATAGCTCCCCTAGCAAGCAGATAGATATAGCATAAAGTAGATTTTATGCTATCTTGGCATCTAGCAAAATCAGAGTCAGAATACCCAACAATCTCTAACTGGTCCGACCTCCAATATGCGAGCATGTATTCTTTTGCTCTCTGCAAATACCTCAAGGCTCGCTTGGCTGCTTTCCAGTGATCCATTCCATGATTGCTTAAGTATCTGCCCAATATTCCAACCACGTACGCAATATCTGGATGCGTATACACTTGAGCATACATTAGACTCCTCATTGTTGATGCATAAGAAATCTGCTGCATCTCATTAATCTCAAAATCATTCTTAGGGTATTAGACTGAATTTATCTCCCTTAACCACACAGGTGTCACATGGTTTATAATTTTGCATGCTAAAATCTTTTAAAACCTTCTTGATATAGCTCTTTTGTGATAACCTAAGTATACCCCGAGATTGTTCCTAATGTATCTGTATGTTTAACACAAAAGAGGCATCCCTAAAATCTTTCATCTTAAATTTCTTTGATAGAAATCTCTTAGTTTCGTGCAATAAGCCTATATCGTTGCTGACAAGCAATATGTCATCGACATATAAAACCAGAAAAATATGCTTATTTCCATTGAACTTATAGTATACACAATCATCAACTACATTCATCTCAAAATTGAATGAGATGATAACTTGATAAAACTTGTAATACCACTAACGAGAGGCTTGCTTAAACCCATAGATAGATTTCGTCAATTTGCAAATCATCTCCTTTGCATTTCCCAATACAAAATTTTCTGCCTGCATTATATAAATTGCTTCATCAATGTTGCCATTGAGGCATGCAGTCTTTACATCTATCTAATATAGCTCAAGGTCAAAATGTGCTACAAGTGCCTTAATTGCCATGAAAGAGTTTTTCGGTGAAATTGGAGAGAAAGTCGCATTATAGTCAATATATTCTTTCTATGTAAAACCTTTAGTGACAAGACGAGCTTGTTGTCCCTTTTGTTTTGATGATGATTTGCCAAACATTTATAGGTAATTTGTTTTCTAGTGGTTGTGGCTTGTTTCTTTTTACAGGATATCAATATACGATGAAGAGCCATTCATATCAATAGTTAAAGACTCAAGATCAGCCTTGTTCGCAATCACTTAGGTATATTAGTAATTTTGTAACATATATTGTGTGAATATATTTCAAGCTCAATATATATATATATATATATATATATATACACACACAGACATATATATACATATAC